CTATGGTTTTTCCTGTCATGATGCATGGAAGTGAGAGCTGGACCATAAAGAAGGCAGACCGCCAAAGAATTCATGCTTTTGAATTGTGGTGCTGGAGGAGACTCCTGAAAGTCCCCTGGACTGCAAAGAGAATAAACCTATCCATTTTGAAGGAAATCAACCCTGAGTGCTCACTGGAAGGACAGATCCTGAAGCTGAGGCTTCAATACTTTGGCCATTTCATGAGAAGAGAAGACTCCCTGGAAAAGCCCCTGATGTTGGGAAAGTGTGAAGGAAAGAGAAGAAGGGGATGACAGAGGATGAGATGGTTGGACAGTGTCACTGAAGCTACCAACATGAATTTGACCAAACTCCGGGAGGCCGTGGAAGACAGGAGTGCCTGGCGTGCTCTGGTCCATGGGGTCACGAAGAGTCAGACACGTCACAACAACTAAACAACAAAAATTCCAGCTCTAGCCTTTCTCTGTGTCAGCAGTCTAGCTGTCTCCTTGGGCTGGAGATTTGAATCTGACATAATTTGGCTCTTTCCTCACACCATCCATTCTCTTTCTGGCTCTTCTGCTCACAGGTCTTAGCCAGTGGAGCAGTTCTGCTGGCAGACAGTTCTGTCAGCATGTTTCTAAGATCACCCCACAGTATGAGAGTTCAGCTGGCAGAAGAGCATTTCTGCCGGAAGAAAATGCTTATGCCTAATACTAACCCCCTTCACTTGGCCATCTTTGAGTTAGGAATGCATTGCCCATATGCACAAAATGGCAAGTCAGAATTATATATTCACTCTGCCACAATGTGATAGAAAAGATAAGTTAAGAACTTCTTTGCAATCTCCTACATTAAACATTTCGTTCACCATTTGCATACATGGGAGGAACCAGACACATCTAATGTAAGGAAAGCTGACATCTAATTCATATGGCTATTTCCAATTGGAAAAAAGACACTATTTCCAAAACAATTTGCAGATGTTTACATTCCTCCACCTACCACAGAGACAAATATGTAGTATTGGTGAGGTACTACACATAAAATTATCTGTGTCCTTGGTTGCACTTGGATTTTTAAAAATATACAGTATATGAATAAAACCAAAGAAAATAACTTGAAAGTCTCTTTTAAGTAGGATACTTTGTGAAATATGCAAAGCAGGCATAATGTTACAAAGCTCCCTTATCTCTCAGAGAATGTTTGCTAGGCTGATATGACTTTGAGACACAGAAGTTTCTCAAGTTCAAGAGATAGTGATTTGGCAAGAGTTACCGTATATTTGTTTTTCCCAGCTAAAGAGGCTGGTTATTCTGCAGATGAATAAGCAAGAAGCAACTACGAGCAGTGAGATTAACAGATATTCAAATTCACAGCCATTATTAGCATGTGTTAATCATTTGGTTACTGTCCCTTCTACTTACATCTCAGCAGTGCCATACTGTTAAACTGCAATGAGACAATGTACAGCAATCCCTTTCCAGCACAACACAGTACTATTTTAAAGAAATCTTCATATAAACCAAATATTTACTTGAGTTTTTATCTGGAAGTCTGTCAATCTTCCATACAATGGCTCTATAGGCACTTTCATATTTGGCTGTTCCAACTGAGACCTGTATTACAGGGTCTGATTCAATCTCTGTCAAAGAACCAAGACACGCTCTTCTGTTCATTTTGGCTTTCAGGGACTTCTGTCGTTGAATATTCATGGTCCAAAGAGTTTTGATCCATTGAGCAGGAACAGGAAAGTGTACCATAATACTTTCACAGGGTTTTATAGAATGTGCATGCGTTGAAGCCAGAGCAGAAGAGGACATGTTTATGAAAGCCTGAAGTTCAACATAAGCTCCCTGAACTACTATCAGGGCTTTGACAAAGAATGGGAGATCAGTTCCATTATATCTAGTTCTGAATCGCATTAGTTCTATCCTGCAGCCTTCTGGGGGTATAAATTTAATTATTCTTGACTGCTCAAACTCTTGTTTCTTCACACATTGATGGAAGTGATAGTCAAGGATTTCAATCCATTTCTTTTCAGTGTCTTTCTCAAAGTAATACTCATCTCTCTTTTGAAGCTCCAAGTCATTTAGTGTGAAAAAGAAGTCAGAGTTTCCATTCACAAAACTCAAGCAATAAATATGGGTAATGACAGCACTTTCAGCTAGTCTGGCTTCTGCTTTTGAAAGTCTGCCCCAAAAATTGTCCACTATCTCTAGGATCATTTCTTGTTCTTCATAATGTCTCCTTGACTTTGAAATAGTAGGCAGCTTCATCAACTCCTCCTCAAATATCATTAGGAATTCAGTGAAGTCATTGTAATCAGTTGTACCCAGTTTCAGCATCTGTTCTATCTCTGGTTCATGAACCACTTCAGCTTTAGGGTGATACTTCTTTTTCTCCTGGTATGTCACATGTTCAATCTTCACAGTATGAATTTTACCAGAGATGCTGCAGTTTTCTACTTTGGGTTCTGAAAGCCTGCAAAATGGCTGCAACTGGAATTCTTTGAAAGGTTTTTCAAGACCCTTTTCATAGTACATTTGCAGTATTCCTCCAGGTAGGACCCTAAGGTATACAGGCCCCCACTGTCTAGAAGACATCATATTTTTCTTTTCAGGAATCCTTAGCATGAAAGGCCAGCCATCTTTTCTTTGGCTGCTGAAGAGGCTGCACGGTATGAATGAAGAGACACTATCTCTAGTATAGATGCATGGCATGTCAGTTAAATTCCTTTCACTGTCTGAAGAACCAGTCTGCAAGTTTTCAAGCTTCTCACAAATATAACTGAATGATCCTTGATTGAGAATTTTTTGATCAGGAAAATTTTCTATTTCTTTGGAAGAACAACAGTCCTTTTCAAGGGATGGACCCCTGCGCATATCAAAGGTAGGTGATGACATATTGGGTGAATGTTCAGACCAAAAGGGACTAGAAAAAGCACAGTCATTCTGAACATACTGAAAGAAGGTTTGCGATTCTGTGATGTCTTGTAGTGTCTCTGAGTTGTCCTCACATGTGGCAGTTCCATCATTTGTTGGAATAGGCGCAGAAAACTCTGAATGATGCTCTGTTTGAGATACAGCAGTCAGTTTTTGAGATGATGGTCCATTGACTGGAAGATTAGCACTGCACGACAATTCTGGAATTGGATAAAGATGATGAGCCCCTGATTTGGGAAAATACGGACTTGCAGGATACTCTTTGGTAGGTGTACAAAGTGGAGAGTTACTTGGAGGCCCAGGGCTGAAATAGTAGTCACATACAGGAGATGAAAGAGAAGTATTGCTGGAGGAAGATGACAGATTTGAAGAATCATGTATCTTAGGCAGAAGGAGTTTAAGCCCATTTGTTCTGCAGGCACTGTGACTTCCTTCTGCCTTCTGAGGGGATTGGAAGACAGGCTCATCTTCAAATGTAACCCAGTTTGCAGGATTTGTGCTGAACATCTTATGGCAACAAGCTGAAGAAATTCAGTAGAGGCTTCACTTGCTAATCATCTATTTGAAAAAGAAAAAAAAGTAAGTTAGGAAAAGCTTCTTACCTTTATCACATGTCTATGCCAGTTTCAAGACTTCAAACATAAGAAACTTATCCAGACCACAGCACTCATACATTTCTGTAGCTAGAACGGTGAAACAGGGTTTTTTTGTTGTTGTTTAGTCATTTAGTCATGTCCGACTCTTCGTGACCCCATGGACCAGAGCACGCCAGGCGAGGTTTTACTGAAACAGTTTTTACAGAAATAGGTTTTAATGTATACCAAATATATCAACCCCGAGTGCTCACTGGAAGGACAGGTCCTGAAGCTGAGGCTCCAATACTCTGGCCATCTCATGAGAAGAGAAGATTCCCTGGAAAAGACCCTGATGTTGGGAAAGTGTGAAGGCAATAGGAGAAAGGGACGACAGAGGATGAGATGGCTGGACAGAGTCACTGAAGCTATCAACATGAATTTGACCCAACTCCAGGAGGCAGTGGAAGGCAGGAGGGCCTGCCATGCTCTGGTCCATGGGGTCACAAAGAGTCGGGCACAACTAAACGATTAACCAACAACAACAAAATATATCTGTGCCAGTTCTAAATCTCCCTTAACTTCAAGAAAGGTATATTTCAGGGTAGATAACCCAAAAGGAAAATACAAATCACAAGCAGTTCAAAAAGTTGATTCCTCAGGTCAGAAAATAAGTACCATTCCCCTTGCAACACATGGTAAAAATTGTGTTGCTTAGTGTAGTAAAGTTCACTAGACTAGACTCACTGAATCAATGAGGATTTTGTGGATAAATTCCTCCATAGGTTCTATTGCTTCAAATCGGCCTGCTCTAACTGCACTCTTACTTTAGCATGGTAAGCTGCAGATAAATTAGGCCAATTTGAACCAATGGAATTTAGAGTTTATGTACTATATTCCCATTGACTCAATGGGCTTACTCTAGTGTGATTTGCTATGCTAACTAGCATGATTTTGGCAAGTAATTTATAACTCTTACCATGGAGGATGGGAATAAAGGAAATAAATACTATTCTTTCTGTGTTTATGTCTGTATTACCAAATATCAGCATAGATAGCTAAGGATGCAAGGGCAAAGGCACACAAGGGCCAGTCATACAAACAAAATTATTTCTCACCAATATTAATATGACAAATGTCTGTGTTGTCATTTCTGCCACAAAAGGTGTTTCAAGAAAAGTATTTTTCCCAATACATGCAGACGAAGAGTTTCTCTAGTAAGCGGCAGGATACATAGAGCAGCACAAAGGACACACTGAAGAATACTAGCGTACGATTACTGTACAGTTTTCCCAAAGTGCCCATATAAATAAAACATAAGGTACATATTCCAAAGGTCCTTTGAACCCAACCAATTATGTTTGCAAACTTAAAATATTTGTCTCTCCTGACATTTAAACCCTGTGGCATAATAAAATCTCAGATTAACAGTTATACTTAAAGCATTAAAAGCTTGCTACTTTTAAAGTCAGGATAATGTGCCTCAGGGAGAATAAAAAGGTTATGTTATTATCAAAAGTCTAAAATCCCGAATTTCTTTCAAGTGCTCCCAATTACAACGCTTTACCTCTGCTTATGCAACTTCAAGGCAAATCCAAAATGGTGTCTTCCCACCGGGATTATAGAGGGCAAGATTAACCAACACAACACTTTACAGAATACAACATATGAAAAAATTGGGGAGAGAGTAGAAGAGCACTGTTTAGAAAATAGCCTCAAGACTCCATACAGTATAACACGGGGAAGCCTAAATTATTTTTGTTTGGATATTTTAGTGTATACAATATGCTTTTTTAGGATTGTTCTTTTTTGGAATAGTTTTTTCTTTTTTTCTTTTTCTTTTTTTGTATATCATGAAATAGTTACATTTCAGTCAGTAAAAATAACATGATAAATGCTTTACAGAACAAATAGCTAAATTGTTCTATAAGGCAGACAAATAACATTATGAACAACACATTTCTATGTCCATCAACAGAATACAATTACAAATTATTTTTCCTAATTGGAAATTAAAAATATTTAGTAACTGTATCAACTGAAATAATATCAGCTGTGGGTCTGATGGCAAATTTTAGAATATATATTTTTAATTGCATTTTAATTATTTTGCCCTTTTATTATGCCTTTTTATTGTATTTTAAATGCTGTAAACCGCCTAGAGACCTTTGGGTAGTGTGGGCAGCATATGAGTTAAATAAATAAAAATAAGATTTAAAGTGTGTCCCCGTAATATGTACTATGTGTTTCATAGGGCTCATTCCCAATTAACTAGTCACAAAGAGGTGCAACAGTACTAAGTACTGTATATTGTTGGAGTAGGTAAGAATTAGTCACCCAATGTGGTGTAGTGGGTAGAGTGACAGGCTAGGGCTTAGGAGATCTGGGTTTGAACCCCCACTCAGTTGTAGAAATTTGGGTGTGGGTGTGGGTGGGAGATGGAATAGGCAAAACCACTTCTTAAAGTATCTCATTTACCATGAAAGCCTTATTAGTATCGCTATAAACTGCTTCTGATTCAATGGCACATAAGCATTATTACTTTATGTACATTATAACTGTATATACCTTTCTTGCCACTTTATTATAATATATTCTTTCCTGAATGTTTTCTCTCTACACATTTATTTTCTTTGTATAAGATAATAAAATTTCCCCTCATTTTCTTGTATGTTAGTCACTTCAACTTTACTTTTATTTCCTTAGCTAGAAAAGCTAAAAGGTAAATCTGGCTACTTCTTAAGGACACAAAAATATGCCACTCCATTTTTAACACAGAGCATATTTGTAATTCTAGTAGGAACAAAACAAAGACATTCATACTTTCAAATTTCATTAGTGTATCAAAAGTCTGTATGTGCACTGATGAAGTCACACATATTGTTAATATTCTGAAAGTGTCTCATCTAAACTTGCTTTAAGTACAGTACTGCATGTCAATTTCTCCTAATGCTGTTTTTTAAATCCTTTGCAATGGTCACATGGTAGTATTTCAGGAAAAGAAATAAGATGATAAATGCATATTCCTAAAATGTTTAAGACATTAAATTATTCTGTCAAAGTAATGGCATTATTGGACTAAATAAAGTAGAAAATAAACAGTGACTCTTGATTATACAAAAGTAATAGCAGTTAGGCCATTACAATTTAAATACTGATATATGCTTGCCGTTGTACAAAAGCCATTTCATGTGGCCCTTCTGAAGAGAATGCTGCATATTTTTATAGTTATGGGTACCATGTGTGCTAGTTAATAATATGCCAAAGCATCACTCTGTGTATTAAACTACTGGGTAAAGAACTAAATGCTTATTAAATGGCCCAATTGTCATTCCTTCTGATTCCAAGAGCAATTTAAAGTTCCACAAGAAACAAATCCATTTTTCTTCATTTCTACTAGTCACTCTTGCCTGAAAATGGCACTTTACTCCACAATAGACTTTGTTCTTATATAAAGGAAAACAAAAGCATAATTTACAGTTCCCAGTTCCACAAAACCATTTAATGACATGTTTACCAAACTGCTGCCTTAAAATATAAGGCAGCTTTATTATTTATTTATTTATTTTTATTCATTTATTTATTTGATTTATATCCCGCCTATCTGGTCTAAAGAATTTAAGAGAAATCTTAGAGTGAGTTAGAGATCTGTAAGAACGCTGAATGGAACAGAGAGTTAATAGAGTTTTAAAGTTAAAGTGGAATTGACTTAAATACAATGATTAGCAACCTGTGATTTACCTATTTAATGTTAATCTGATGTTAACTTCCCTGATCAAATAAATAACTTAAGTTTTAAAAGCACACGTGTCTCCTTGATTGAATGGTAGTGAAGCAGCAATACCTGGTGGCAACGAAGAAAAAAGAGTAAGAACCTCGTGAAGACCTGAGGGAATAGGGGCTTCAGAGGGGATCACCACATAAAATCCACCATTAGGGTGTGTGTCTTAGTGTTCTAAGTGGTAAAAGACTCTGCTGCAACACTCAGATGCTTTCAGCACTAGCAATGTCCTCTTCTGACAGATCATCTGAAACATGTAGTTTAGTTGCTAATTTCCCTTTATGAGCTGTATCCACTTTCATTCATCCAGCAAAGCATACTACAGTAGATCCTAAAACAGATCTTCTCTGTCCTGTATAAAATCCTGGACCCATGTAAAATTCCCTCTTGAAGGTGGGGAGGCATCTAGTTCATCCTGGACGGGCACAGGTAGTGGAAGAGAATGGGAAAGTGTCAATATACTGTACAAGGAGAAGACTACTAATGTAATACCGGAATTAGACATAAGTTTCAGATCACTGAGATGCTGAAAATTAGCACAGCCACAACTACTGATATTTTTCCCAACCATTATGCATACAACCAAAAATTAATACTGTACAGATATGCACTGCTCCCACATCTGAATAGGTACCATAAAGCATCAGAAACAAATAGGCATTTGTTAGAGCTCAGTTACTTACTTGTAGGAACAAGACCAAAGTCAAGAATCAATACAACTATCCAGTTATCAACTCCAGTAAGAAATCTGTCAAAACTTAAGGAACCATATAAAGCGTCCTATAGATTGTGTGGCCACTTTCCAAAAGTTGAAAGAACAAAAGGTCGTAAGTCATTCATGGCTTTAAAATTACTTCCCTCACACATAGTGCTCACAAATTTCTCAAGTTTACATTTCTCTTTACTTTCATACACCACTGCCCCAAACTGGCATTAGGTGCCTCTTTTGAAGTAAGAAAATGTCATAGGATTTAGGTAGACCCAGTGAAAGACAAACTGCACTAAAATACTAGTCCATTTGCAATTTTTCTGTGGTACTTACACAGATGCATTCTTAACAGCTGTATGCACTCATTTTTATGATTTGATGGCACATAAGCATTATAACTGTATATACATTAAGCTGGACAGGGGACAGATTGGATTTGTCTTCAGTGTGGAAGGGACTGTCACTCTCGAATTGGCCTCCTCAGCCACACTAGACGCTGTTCCAAGTCCTCCATACAGAGCACGTTACCATAGTCTTTTGAGACTGAAGGATGCCTAACTAACATTTTAACAGCCATATTTTGCCATGGGTTCTTGTCTGTTCAATAAAATAGAAAATGTGTGTAGCCAGCCACTTCAAAGCTGTGACATATTGTGGTATGAATACTTAGGGTTGCATTTAATGATGCCATTCTGCTGGGGGAGCAACGTGCAAAGAATAAGATTCTTCCCATCACTGCATGGATCTTCCAAATCTGCTCTGGAGGACTAGAAAACTCTTTAGAGTAGATTTGGAAGTTAAATTCACAGTGGAATTTATTCATAGATGTGACCCACCTGCACTGGATGTTTGGCCCTCAGAAATTTGTAAATATTTTAAATGCAATTACTAACGGAAGAAAAGGAAAATGCTTTCCCTGACCACATGGTCTAAGGAGGAGGGGCGTTGGCTTTAAATCAGTGTGAGCTGTAGTTCTAAGCCCTTTCCCTGAGGAGGAAGCTGAGGCAGAAGGTGAGCTCTGTTGGGAGCACTTTTTTGGGGGGGAGGGCGAGAGGTATATTTTTCTAAGCTGACCTTTGCTCTCCCGGACTACATGGTCTAAGGGGGTGAGGGTATGGTTTTAAATTAGCATGAGCTATAGTTCTGAGCCATTCCCTGAGGAGGAAGTTGCAATAACCTCTCCCCGAGAAGGAAGCTGAGGCAGAAGGTGAGCTCTGTTGGGAGCACATCTTTTTTGGGGGGGTGGGAGGTATACTTTGCTCTCCCTGATGACATGGTCTAAGGGGCGGGGGTTTGGCTTTAAATGAGTGTGAGCAGAAGCACTAAATGAAATTATCAGATTCTAGTTTTTACTCTCATCTAGTAAATAGGAAAATAGCATTGCATACATCTGGGGATCAGGAAAGTTTTAGGGGTCGGATCATACTTCCACACTCTTAGGGAGCAGGCTGGGTAGGTGGGGCTAGTCAGCCTTGGAAGGCAGCCCATCTAGGAGAAGGAAAACTCCACTTTCAAACCTCCCATGCTTTGTGGCTATATCCACTGATGGAAAAGGCTTCAGGAGTTAACGTTGAGGCAAAATCCGGAGCTGGAGTCCCAGAGACAGTTCGTGTTGTTCTTCCAACTCCTGCGACGTAGCTGGAACCAATTGTATTGGCTCTTGCCTATCCATTGGACTATTTCAGCAACATGGAGAGGGGGGATTTGCTGCTTGGGCAACAGCCTATCCTCCATATTATTTTACCCAGGCTTCGCACTCTGGAGAGGACACTCCAGCTTCGCATACAGTGTCGAAGCAACACAGAAAGTAATTGCCACTCTCAAATTGGCCTTCTCAGCCACACTAGATGCTGTTCTAAGTCCTCCATACAGAGCAGATTACAGTGGTGCCTCGCTTAACGAGCGCCTCGCTGAGCGATGAAATCGCTTAACGAGGCGCTCTGGGCCATCACTGGAGCATTCGCTCAGCGATGGCCCCTATGGGGATTTTTCGCTTTGCGATATTCGCTAAGCGATTCGCTTAGCGAATATCGCATAACGAAGCGGGGGAGAACAGCTGATCGGCGGTTCCAAAATGGCCGCCGGAAGGTCCGCGCCGCATTTTCGCGCCCTGCCCTCGCTTACCGAGGGCGTGAAAATGGCGGCGCTATGGCAGAACCTCGCTTAACGGTGAGTTTTCAAGCCATAGGAACGCATTGAACAAAGTTCAATGCGTTTCTATGGCTTTTTTTATTCCGTTTAGCGATGTTTCGCTATAGCGAAGGTTAATCCGGAACGGAACGGATTAACCTCGCTATGCGAGGCACCACTGTACCATAGTCTCTCAAGACTGAAGGATGCCTAACAATTACTAGAAGTAAGGAAACTAAACTGGACTGGAATAGGACATTTTCAGACAACTGCAAAGTATTTTACTCTGGAAATGATGAACTCAGCAGAAACGAACTGGCTCTAATACTGAGGCAAGATGTAGCACAGGAACTTATAGTGGCTATAATGCAAGGTCTGATCAATCAGACTTCTCAGAAAGACTTGACAGCACATAACTGTCCAGAATAAGAGAGTGTACTAGTTATTTTATTTCTGTAAACTTTTTATTGTTAAAAAAAAATAGAACCATGTTTTGATTTTCTAATTTTTCCAATATCCTAGAGTACAGTACAGTTTATAATGTGTGCACTACACCTGCAAAAATATCCCACCTTTTCTGCTTCCAGAGTTGATCTGTACTCATGCAAGTTTACGTACATATGTAAATGAGGACACTCAGTCAACACCAAGCTCACAACAGCAGCACAAGAAGTCAGAGTATCTTGTAGCACTCCTTTCTGTGAATCCAGCAATCTGAACTAGAGACAAAGTACATTTCCCTGTATTGAAACTACACAGAATAAAGACACAATGTAGTTGTTCCAATCTGCAGACATAACATTACCATGCCAACAATTTTCCCCATTTTCACCTGCTGCAGCAGCTGTATCACATATTTCCCAGCATTGCTACTGGATATTTGTAATGGGTGATACTGGAACTTGAACTCAGCTCCTTTAACATGCAAAACTATTACATTTTAACTGCTCGAAACCCCTCAAAAACACACAACTCTTTCTTGTTGATATCCAAGAAAGGGGTGAAAGTTCATATGCATGTGTTAAGTAAGGACAAAATACCAGCCTTAACTTGGAATTTCCTGCTAGTTGGATTTAGATTTCAAATATTGCTTAAGTTCAGCTTCTGGCTGCACTCTGCAATGGCAGACAAACTATTTTTATCCTCTTCTCTAACCACAACTATTTAAACTGAATATTAATAGTTTTTTTTCCATCACAAGACATAAAACAGGAAAAAATATGTATAAAAACAGAAAAACACTTTTGAAAATGTTATGCAATAAGAAATCATAGCCAAACAAAATACTGGCTTTATATCCCCACAAGTTATACATATGTCAAGAACTATTCACAAATATTGTATTCCTTTAAATTTAAAATATTGTTTTTCAAATGCTAACAGTTGTGGGGAGACCAATATGCACCCTTTAGTAAAACTGGGATATTAACAGGTTTAGTCTTACATTTGTCATATATTTTTAAAACTAAAGTATCACTAGAGTTTGGAACAGTACTTTAAAAACTTATTCTAGTCATTTTAGTTCCGCATAGCCATCAGGAGCCTGTCGACAAAAGTACTGACAGGTTAATCCACCTGACACTTTCCTAAATATCAGATTAGGCATCTTTCAGTCTCGAGAGACTATGGTAATGTGGTCTGTATGAAGGACTTGGAACAGCGCCTAGTGTGGCTGAGAAGGCCAATTTGAGAATGACAATCCCTTCCACATTGAAGACAAATACGTACAATCTGTCCCTTGTCCAGCTCCCTGATTTTGCTGCTTTCAGGACTGCCTCTTTGCCTCGGCCTGCTAGACAAGGGACTCTTCAAAATGGGAGAGGCCATGGTGCACCGCCTGCCTCCAGGCTGAACGCTCAGATGTCAAGGTTTCCCATCTGTTGAGGTCCATTCCTAAGGCCTTCAGATCCCGCTTGGAGATATCCTTGTATCGCAGCTGTGCTCTCCTTCTGGGGTGCTTTCCCTGCACTAATTCTCCATACAGGAGATCTTTTGGAATCCGACCATCAGCCATTCTCACGACATGCCCAAGCCAACATAGACGTTGCTGTTTCAGTAATATATACATGCTAATAATTCCAGCTCATTCTAGGATTACTCTATTTGGAACTTTGTCCTGCCAGGTGATACCAAATTTTTTTATGAATATTCATTGATCATGTTAAGGTCAGAGACGCTGACACTAACTACTCAGCCACACTGCCCTGCAAGAACAATGACAGAAGTTAAGTAAGCTACCTACCATATGCTAAAACTTACATCCTGGCATAGTTTCAGAGGATAAACAAAGTGCACGTCTTGTAGCAGGCAGCAAATGAGCATAGTATTCTCCTAAGAGATAACTAAGCTAAGCAAAGTAACTTCTGCCCCATTTTGTACCTGAAGTTTCAGGTTCCAGGCTCTTCCAGAAGATCTGCAAATCATTTGTCAAGTCTCTTCAAACTTTCATGAAAAAGAGGGTAATTTCTTACCCCTCCCCTCATTCAGTGGAAACTCTTTTGCTAATTAACTCAGTACCAGTGAGAGAGCTCATTCCAGCCTGCAGGGATACATTGTAGCTATTACTGCCTTCCAGTTACCAGTGGGACACCTCTTTTAGTCAGGTTGTCCTAGGCACAAACTACAAAGCCAGATTTTCCAGAAGAGCAGCTTTATTTTCCCACTCTCTTGACAGGTCACTCTCCTGATCAAATAAATTCTTGATGTAATAAATCTAAATGCCAAATGCATCTATCTTTTTCACAGTAGCTTGTTTCAA